TTTTTTTTTTAAAAATATTCTCGCTGGATGGGTTGGGAGTCATACGACCTCTCACTTATACAGTAACTCACAGAGGGCAGTTAAACCACAGAGAGTTGTGCGTCACCTTTCCATAGAAATTATTGTTACAATACATAGCCTTGCTTCTTACGTAACCTCTTCCAATCCGATAGAATGTGCAATTCTTATCCTTTCCAGATTCTTCTGCGAACACATATTCGCCAGGAGCACATGGAATTCCGTCAACTATTCTAACAGTTCTCGTTGCCGACACGTCGATTGGCGCCCATTGACAAGAGTCTCGACGTAGAGGAATCAGCGTCCACCTCTACTTCGTTGAGGACGCGACCTTACTAGATGTCCACACGTTCATGAAAGGATAGGCGTCAGGCTCGGGTGTCGCACTAATCTCGGGGTGCGAGGGGACAGAGCTCGTGAGGGACTCAGATAGGGAACTTGCAACGCCGGTGGCCGGACTCGAACTCGTCGACTCGCTCCCAAAGCCGCTAGTGCTCGTCTTCATATAAGTAGTGTAGGTTGTATTCCCTGAAGAGTGATTTACAGAAAGCGTGTGGCTGGTACTCTCGGTTGAAGTATTCATAGCTGGGGCGGATGTCGCGCTCGTGGTTGATGCGTCTATACGAGAGATATGGCTCGTACTCGCGACTGATGTATTCGCAAAGCCAGAGTACGCTCCGCTCTCAGCTGAGTTTCCGGATGAAAGTACAGTAGGTAACCTTGTGGAGCCGCCTATCGATGATGTAGTCGGAGAAAAGGAGACATCGCCACTAACATACGTGGGACAAGTATGCCCCACCTGGAAGGCGAAAAAGTCGCATGCAGGATCGAAATAGGTGGCATTTCCATTGACCGTGTCGTTACTAAACTGACCTATATGGGGCATCAGCAGAAGAGCACTCGGCAGGGCAATAATATACCCACACCGAGAGATTAGTTCTTGAAATACGGCGGAACAGCTCCGACAATTGCGTTTTGTGGCTGATAGTACGGTCTGCCGCACCAGAAATATTCTCCTTGTTTGACGAGTATGATAAGATACGCCACAGCCACCCTGCAGATCTAACGCGCAGAACCAATCAATGGTCGATCTCATCGACTGCAAGGTAAATCCCGCGTCATGGCTGCGCTGACACACAACGCCGGGTTGGTATGAATTAGAACTGCCGACTGCACATACATGGGCTGCCGAAAGCATAGCAAGCAAAAGCATTGCTTTGAATTTAGGATTATATAATCCTTGCTTTTTTGTGAGCTCTGCACCTCGTTCTCTTCTTTTATTGTCTCTTTTTTTCCTCGCCGTTTTTCTCTCTCGTTGGATTTCGGTCTTCTTCGTTCCTCATACCCTGTCTTGATGTTAACCGCACATCGTGGTTAGACGCAGAGGGTTCCATTCGCAATCCTCGATGCTCCCTTTGGCATTCTTATAGGTTGAACGCCGTCTGCTCTTAGTAGATTATGCGGCCCAAATTGCTCATTCCGCAAGCTGTACTAATCGAAATATGGCGCCGCGTCGACTTTATAATGAACCAGAATTTATGCTCGACCTCCACACGCGTCTCCGAACTAAAGGAAAGAAGAAGCTGCCACGGCAAGACGGAACGATCGTAATTTTCGAGATCGAAAAGTGGTCATTTTCGACACACAGACGGACTCAACTATACGTCCAACGAGTTCCTATAGTATCGGACATAACGAGGCCATTCATGGGTTTCGTGAATGGATTTGGGTGCAAAACAATAGCTAATTACTACAGGAGGCCGCTGTCGTCTGATTGCGCGGTGGCTCCTTCTTCGAGGTAGCACCCCTAAATACGCTCTGGCTGGGATTCGCGAAATCTTAGAACAATTTTCATCCAGAATAACGTTGTAGAAGTAGAGGGCGAGATGAAACTCGCAGGCGACGTTGCCTAGTTTGGACAGGACAATACTAAAATAATACCAAGATATCTCGTCCTCTAGTGCCTTAAACCCTCTCCTCTCCTTATACGATAGCAACTGAGAAGAGGGGGAGAATCGTAGGTTAGTATAGTAACTTTCAAGTGAAGCCACTGTTTTATAAGCATACAGTCCATCCCGGATCGAGTCGAACGAGTAAGCTAGGGGGTTGATTGAACATTCGACATGGACAATAAAAGTCGTTTCCTAAAGAATCTCTCAAAGGCACAAATATCGTGGATTCCCCCGCACCGAAAAGTGGGGTGAGCGAAAAAGTTGACCAAGTACCTCCGTACATCCATTTTCAACAGCGCGCATACAACAAATAAAAGGCCAAATCGAATTCCCAAGTACGGCGGAAGTATCTTACAACCATCGCCCGAGCTAATGCGACTATTAAATGTGAAGATTACCTGGGACTCGGGCCAATGTTAGCCAAGGTCTGCGTGGCGTATTGTCCTACATTAGTGGGTGATCTTTGCTTCTAATCACTCTCCTACCCCGGCTTCAGCCTCAACTTACCAAAGAAGAGTAAACCAAGGTTGGCAGACGGTTCTAGACGATCAATACATCAAGATTTCGATGATTTTCGTTGCTGGGAAGGCTGTATCCTTGTGTTCTGAACACTCGAAGAGTACTTCGAAGAGCTCTAAGATACCACGGCGTACGAGCCAAGTATTGGCACAATGTTTTCGAGCTGTAAAATTACCCTCGAAGCCAAAAATAGAATAGTTGCGTAGAATGACGTGGAAATTCAACCGAACTTGCCTCGATTTCCCCGGGAAGTCTCTTCACAGAAAGTAAGCCGAGTGTTCGCGCAGCGTTCAAAGAACTCACGTGAAAAATAAGTCTTGGCGTAACTATAAATCTTCTTCAGCCTGCTGCATCTGCCATTCCTCTTCAACTGTTTCAGTCTAACAATAAACCCCCTCAAACTCATTAAAGATTTCGTTTGCAGTCAGTCATGCCTTATGAAAGTGTCAGCTATGATTTCGAGATCACGACTGGTGGGCTAGGGACAAAGAGACATCAGGCATTCATGAAAGAGTTCGAAAACACGGGGGCTTCCCGATCCTACACGCTCAAGGTGCAAGATGACAAAGCCTGTCTAACTCTTAAGTCTATGGCGCCCCTCCATTCCAGCGGCATCCCAGAGGATTTCATGGCTTTGTCTGATTGGTGGAATATATACGGCCAGAACATAAGCAATGATGTGTCAAAAGCAAATGGATCGACCTCTCTTGGCGTTTATCAGGGCCCTGATGGGCAAAATTGGATAGATGGAAGCTGGACACGCTCCTATGGAGAGTACAACAAGGAAGATCGTAACAAGCGCGTGCAGCAAGCCCAACAAGAATATCCAGGCGCCAAAATTCACGCCGACCCATACGCTTGCAATTTCAAACTGATCGGATAACTTGTCCATTTTCGAGGTGAGATATTTTTCGTCCATTTGACGATATATCCCTAACTTCTCTCGTAGAACCAAATCCCTTCGGACTTGGAACACTCGAGAACCTCCTCAAGCAAACGATCACATCTCAAACATCTGTCCTGTCCCTCGCCGATTCCCTATGAATTGTTATGAGATGACCCTACAGGCGGCTAGGAGGACCGGACTGGGAAGGTCAGACGAAGGAAGAAGAATACTGGAACAGCCTCGCTGGCAAGGCTGACAGGTCACGTGAGGGCGCTCTGGGATCTGTGTTCTGTCTGCTCTCTCTTCGCAGAGCACAGAGCACGGATCAGGCAGAGCAGGGAACCACCGAAAAGGCTATATAGTTACGACTCACGACTCCATAGTTCTATAGTTTCCTTCTTCCGTAGTCAACTCATGTTATCAACTGCGAAATACTGTTGTGACCCTTGAGCCCTCCAGGGTCCTGGGTGTCATGGGTTAAACCCAAGGGAGTAACTACTCAGTTCAAAGAACCAGCGTCGACAGCAAGGATACGTGACTACGACACGTGATTAGGCAAGGGGCACTATTGTACGCCAACAAAAGGTTATTCCTCCCTTCAGGGCCTGAGCCCTGAGGGCGTTCGACATAAGGGAGGGATGAGAGGGCACCTCCTTTCCTTTCCTTCCCTTCCCTCAGATTTGTCCTCCTTGTTACCAGGTAGACTTGTTAATTACAGAATTCTCGTCCAAACCCTCACACCACTGGCCGAGGGATGTTGACGCCAGCCTGGCTTTTACATTTCATCGTAATATTAGTAGTTTCGCAGGGATGTGGGATATGCTGCTTCTCAGGTTGAAGCACGCAGCATCCCTTGCCTACGGAATGCCTTCTGTGGAGGCCTTGATACCACGCCAACTATCGTGACCACCTCCGCTGCTAGAGATGGCCTTCAGTTTCAAAATTTTATGTTGGATTTGCGGAAATATGTCGGAAAAGGCCCTTGCGGGGATTAGGTAGACTTCCTCATTGGCAACAGGTCTCCCAGAGCAAGGAACTTCTGATTGGACCACCTCGAGACAGCGTGCTGCGTTGGTGGCATTTTGGGCTTCGCCATCGTTCAAAGCGCTGCTCGAATCTATTAAGGACGTGTAGGTCGGCCGCAAGAGGGTGAAGGGGTTCGTCTGTAATTCCGCAAGGTTACTCCATTCTGGGGCTTTTGGGTGCAGGAAATCAGTGTTGTTGGAATGGAAACTCGATTGTCCTAACTGCCTTGGGCTTCGCTCAAAGATATTGTACAAGTAAACAGATTTAACATTAAAAGACCGAACAGAAGGCTTCCATTCCAGACGCCCGGATTTCGCGCTCCGCTTCTTCCGCTTCTTGCACACGTGACATTTTCGACCGCCGAGACACGGACCCCAACATTTTGCGTTTCAGCCCATTAGTCTTTTGCTCCTGACGTGTCCTCTGCACTTCTAAAATATTTTCATAGCTCATGATTTGTCCCCTTCCAACAACAATAGAGCTTGAGGCTCTAGTTTTCTTTTCGTCGTTTTGCTTGATCAAGTCTTGATTTTCCTGCGAGAGAAGATCTCGCGTCGTCACAAGCCTCTGTGCCGCATCGGCAAATTTTCGGAAACAATACTGACTCTCATCGTCAAGGCCATGGATTTTGTGCTCCATCGTCTGACGCAGTAAAGCAAGGTCATCGGCAGTCATCGGAGTTGTCGGCGGCTCGCTATTTGGCGCTATGGGCGGCACGCCATTATTCGCGACGACCTTCGGCCGTTTCTCGATGTCTCGAAGCACTCGGTCAGGATTAAAAGGGTAAAGTCCAGCTTTAGCCCACCCCGACTTGATATTCCGAGCGGTGAATGCTGTACGGCGAGCTTGGCTGTAAAGCAAAGTGAAATGTTGCTTACCGACAGTGTTTGCTCCTCCGCGGAACAACTTCTCCACCAGCTCACGGTAGGCTGTTTTCAGAGGCCCGAAGACGCTGACGTCGCACGGCTGGGTCCTGTGAGAGGTGTGAGACGGAAGTCGACATAAGATAATGTTGTTCTCATGACAAAATTGCAACACTTCGAGGGATTCGTGGGGCCCGAACCCGTCATTGATCAGGATTCGCGGTCGGCCATGGGCCCGTGCCTTGGTCTGGGGATCAAACACGCGACGATACCAGTCCGATACGGTGTCACGGTTGGTGTAGCCACTAGGCGAGCATGCAAAATGCCACCCCGGGGTTGGGTGGGTGGTCCAAGCACTTCGATGACTGGATGAGGGCCAGATGATGAGTGGGGATAGGGACCTCCCATCTGCCGAGATGCATTCCACGCGGTCACCAACATCCGGTTTACTCCCGTTCCTCTATCGACAATCCCGGCATGGTGAAATGCCCCGTGTAATGAAATAAGCGGCCGGTACTTTGAGCTCCTTCACGTCGTACTTACCACACATGCCTTGTATCATTAATTGAATGTATATCTATGCTTTGAAAGCACTTATCTGCATTTTTCTTGATTCCTGTTTATAATTACATAGAGTTGACCCTCTCAAGGCTTGATTTCTTCAGCATATCGTCAAAGCACGCAGATCGTTCATCTCTTAGGTGCTCACAATACTGGTACTGCCGGCTATTCCACATGATACGAATGGGATGTCAATGCACAAGCTTCGTAGGACCAATTATCATATCCATAACTATCACTGTACCCCCTCTGTGCTGCCATCTCGTGCCGCATACGATCCCTCTCGGGTACTTCCTCGCAGATCCAAACAGCCGAGGACCGGACCGAGTACGATTGCACGTAAATGACAAGTAACATATCAGCCACCCAACCTAACCACCAGCCACAATAACGTGGCTGAGGCATCTTGCCGCCTTAATGCCATTAGTGGGCTCTTCACGTGATCCCCTGGTATCGAATTCAGCCTGAGAGACTGTACTTCCGTCCACGATACACAGGCCCAGTCTGGCGCAGGCCCAGGCTCTGTGCGACAATCAGCTGAGCCATTCAGCTCTGCTGCCACCAAAGCGCACGAGATGTCCCAGCAGCATCAACCTATATGTTCGCACGACTGGGGGTGTGGACTACATATTCCCGACGTGAACATCATATCGCCGTCGCTCAATTTTTTCTTCTTTCCTTCCTGAATGATTCCTTTCCTATCGCGGTCCCAGCCTTACTGACAGTTCGTTCAGAGTTGCCCACCTTGGTGATTAAACCTCGTCGCGGCCACGCCCTCCGCCCTCCTTCTCAACCTGTTCTCAGCCTGATGGTCACCTCTTGAGCCTCCGTATCTTTCTATAGCCGCATTTCCTCTCGTCGTTCTCTCGCACCTCTCCCCTTCTCCCCCAGCACAGTCTACCTCTCATGCGAGACCCACCACAATGACCACAAAACGTTCTCTGCCGATCGAGCAATACCAAGTGGGCGTCATCTGTGCTCTTCGTCACGAGATGACAGCGGTAATCGCCATTCTGGATGAACGGCATCAGCCGATCACGAGTCAAGACAAACTCGATCCCAAAAACTATGTAGTAGGCCGAGTTCATGAACATGACGTGGTCATTGCCTGCTTGCCGGCCGGCGTCTACGGGACGAATGCTGCGGCAAGAGTGGCCAACGACATGCCGAGGACATTCACCGGACTGCGGTTTGGGCTGATGGTGGGAATTGGAGGCGGGATCCCCAACCTACCCAAGGGTTTAGACATCCGTCTCGGGGACGTGGTGATCAGCCAGCCGGACAAAACGTTCGGGGGAGTGGTTCAGTATGATTTGAGAAAGAATCTGGGGAAGAAGCAATTTGAACGTAAAGGGTTTCTGAAACCACCGCCTCCCATCCTACTGGCTGCACTTTCCACTCTGCAGGCGGAACATGACCTCGATGACAGTAAGGTTCCGGGGATACTGGCAGATATGGCTAAGAAACATCCTAATTTGGTGATAAACGGATATGGGTTTCCTGGGCGGGAGAACGACAATTTATATTGCTCTCAATGTGATGGCCCTGGATCTTCCGGTTTGTGCCAGTCGTGCACGGACGGGAAGATCAAGAGACCGGCTCGTGATGATCGCCATCCTGCATTTTGGTACGGGGTGATTGCGTCAGGCAACGATTTGATGAAGAATGCCACGGAAAGAGACAGGATAGGTCAGGAATTTGGAGCGCTGTGCGTGGAAACAGAAGCAGCCGGGCTGATGAATGATTTCCCGTGCATCTTCATTCGGGGCATCTGTGACTATGCGGATTCTCACAAGAATGATGCGTGGCAGAAGTATGCTTCTCTCACGGCGGCAGCCTATGCTAAGGAATTTCTTGACTACGTATCACCTGAGCCGACCAGGCTAGAAACGCCGATCCAAGACATTATTGGTAAGTAGGACCTATTGGGTAGTCAGTACGGATCTACCTTTCTAGAGCATGACTAATATTCGAATTACTCTCTATAGATTCTCTCGACAAGCATCTCAATAAGCAATTGGGCTTAGTGGAAGAGCATCTTCTCGAGGTTAGACGAGAAAATGAGAAACAGGACCGGCGGTATCAGAATGATAAACAGCGGCAATGTCATCGAGCATTCAAGACCAGCATGTACGAACAATTTAAGGATGTCAATCCTGATCGGGTGGAAGGCACCTGCCAATGGGTATTATCCCACTCCCAATATCGGAAGTGGCTCACAACGACCCATGATGACCTACTCTGGATCTCGGCGCATGCGGGCTGCGGCAAGTCGGTCCTCGCCAAATCGCTCGTGGACAATGAACTTCGAAATACTGATCAGCACACTGTCTGCTACTTCTTTTTCAAGGACAATGAAGAGCAGGACAACTTAGCCACGGCTCTTTGCGCACTACTCCATCAATTATTCACTTACCAGCCTCAGCTAATCTCACATGCAATTCCGGCGTGGGAGACGTTGGGCGAGAAACTCGTGAAGGAGATACCGGAGCTATGGCGGATGTTGATGGCCGCCACCAGAGATTCTGAGGCTAACAATGTGACGTGCGTGCTCGATGCGCTGGACGAATGTCGGCTTTCTGATCGGCGGCTGCTAATTTAGATGCTGGCAAGATTCTACATCCAGACATCGGCTGCTTCGTCTACGACACGGCAAGGCCGATTAAAATTTCTCGTCACCAGTCGGCCACATGATGACGAGTTCCAGAAAACCATCGACAATCTACCCACTATCCGCCTATACCATCTTCCACTTCCAAATACAAGATACTCGGAGAAGATGAGTCCACGAAAAAATGGTAAATCAGATTCCGGGTATGCATCTGCCAGCAATCATTTTGACTATGCCCCTACCTAGCCCACTACTGGTGAAGGTAGTATTCTTGGTGAAGGTCATGGTGCAGGGCCTGAAGATAGTGTATGTCTTAAAGACTCCACAGCATTACCTTCAGCGGCATCGGATGAGCAGTACTCAATCGGTTCTATCTCTTCCGACCGGGACGATATCTAATCTACTATCGAGATGCGGAAAACTTCGGATATCCTCAGTGCAGAAGATCAGCTTAGGGCATTCTTCATGGAGAACATAGAGATCTCTGAGACATGCACGAGACTTCTTGATGGCATTGGTAGATCGAGATTCATCAATAATCTCAGGCGTCTCCTCAAAAGATACTACAAAGGCCAACTTCAATTCGCACAATTGCCACTAGAGAAGGCATGCCTTAGCCTTCTCAAAAGGCGGGACACGCGAATCCGAATTGCAATGTCGGTGGCAGACAAATTACGACCACGATCGGATCAAATACAGCTAGAAGTCGAAGACGACCTGAAGAAGGCTCAAGGAATGCGGCCGAATGTTGAGGAGTGGCTTCGCGGTCACCCTGCTTTCAGCCTCGACCAGAAAGATCCACCGCCACCTATCCAGAATAGTGACTCAGACCAATCTACTGAGAGCGATGCCAGGTCGGGAGAGATCACGGTAGATCTAAAGGACCAGCTGAAACACATAACTCGGGCCAGGAAATTTATGACAGAAGGCTTCGCATTTCGTAAATTCTTACTTGATATCGAAATGATGCTGTTACCAAAAAGCCTGATCGGTACAGTGCGGACCATTCTCTTCATACCGAATGACAGCATACTTTGCGGCACTGAGGTTAGATGCACCTATTTTGACAGGTGCAAAATCAAAGTTGAGCAGGTTACCCATACAAGATGGAATTGGTGGCCGCTAGCTCCCGCGGCGTATCCACTCGAAGAAGGGCAATCTCGAATTCGTTGGCAAGTGTGTAAGTTCGAATTCTCTCGACCAAACACGCAGTGAACTTCAACTGATATCTCCAAGTATTGTTCGACATCTGTCTGGGTAGATGTTCCGACTCGCGAACTAGCTCGTTTCAACAGAATTCTTACAATCAAAGGACTATTTGTCTATGGGCACAACATCTGCGGAGAACTTACTGGGGGAAAGAGGGAGAGCGACGAAAAGGCGCTTTCACTGAAAGCACACAAGGAAACGGCACATGGTCAAGCCGATACTACTGTCGGTCAACAGATATCCACGAGCGAAGCATCGACGGCATCTCAATCGTCGTCATCTACCACCTCAGCAGTGTGTTCTCCCGCTCCCACTCACAAAGTTCTGGAGTAAGCACCATCGCTTCATCAAGCCCATCGGAATCATATTCACTACCCGTTCCCCTTACGGAGTCATATGTCGTCCTCGGTATTCAGCGCGAAAAGGTACTGATTGAATGTATCGATACCAAGGCATACAGCGACGATCCTCAGTTCTTCCGTGAATTGAGATGGCGCAACGCTTTTAGACGAGGTCCTGTTCGTCACTACCTATCTATCTGGCAATTAGATCACTGCCATTTCGTGAAAGTACGTATAATGATCTTAAGATTGTTGCTATACAGAAATCTGTCCAGTGGTTAATTTTAACAGTTCCGAAAGTACTCCTCAGATGTCGTTAGCGCTGTGGCAAAAGAGCTTCCAACAAAGAGCGATTATCAGTACGACCCTCGACCTCCTGGAGCTACACCTGACGATCAGATCCATTATCACGTATGGTTTATGTTAGTAAACACGCCCTGCAGTGAAGCCTTTCTCCACCGCAAGCTGGGGATGTGCCCTAAATCCTGGCTTTGGAATCATCGCTGCGTGAATCATTTGATGGATAAGCAGCAACGAATGCTCTCACGGATTCCCAAGAAGAATTCATCATGGATGACGGGCACTCAAGATGTCGAAGACGCATGGGGCATATATACTCAGCATGTCCCCCAGTTCGGGTATGCACTGATGTATCAAATCCTCTTCCTAGCAGGGCCCTTTATCTTTTCACTCGTCTGGCAGTCATCAAGAGAAAGGAATCGAAAAGATGGGAGTGGGTCGACAGATCTCCAAAATCCTACAGTGCCTCTGAGCCTCGCAATTGGGCTTCTTGGCACCCTCTGGACGTGGTGGCAGGTGTTTTTCCCAGTTGCGAGGATCCAGAGCCCATATTTCACCTAATGCGCTTCTTCTATGTATGAAGAACTCATCAGGACAACAGGCCGGAACAAGAAGGGATTGGGATTGTTTCAATAGGCGTTAGTTGGGCTTTAAAGGGTTCTTAATCTCTTGAGGAAGAGACTAATGGTCCTGGCGCCCTGAGATTGAGCGAAGGCCATCATGTTATGTTGCGGCTTTCGCAACCAAAACGGTAGTGACGTGCTGAAACGGAAGACTTAGCCATGACTGCGCAGGCTGTACCTGGCGCAGTCGGGTAGCGTTCAGGTCAGTTTAATGTCATCGACTATGACCAGAGGCATACTGTATCGAAGATGGCAGGGAGGTCTCAGGCAGGGAAGCAGGACAGAGCGACCTCAAATATCACGTGCAAACCTTACAGCATTGAGGCGGCGAGAGCGTTGAGCCACACAGTTGTGGCTGATGGAGGACGGGTGGCTGCCATGTTACTTGTCATTTACAACCCACTGGTACTCGGGTCGGTCTTCGGCTGTTTGCTAATGCGCGCAGAAGTACTTAGACAGGGGTCCTCCGAAGCACGACATGGCAGCACAAGTTGTGGATACCTAGAGTACTGATATGATAATTCGTTCTACGATTTCAACATACTAATATACTATTTATTCTACGCGGAAAACCCAGCAGAACAGGTATTGCAATCTCTAGAGGGACGAAGCTGTTTCAACGCTTTTCAGGTGGGCTGTAGAAATCAGGCCTTGGAAGGATCAATTCTTCGTATTTATAGATAAATCTTGTACTTGAAGCAGAAGGATGGCTTCAGAGCGCGAAGAATAACTCAACCACTTGATCGATATCTCATGTGGCGAGTACGGGGCGATGGCGCTCGAGGTATCGGTGGATTATTTCACCACGCAGGGCGTTTCACCACGCCGGGATGGCGATTAGAAAATAAAAAGCGGAGAAGAAATGCCCATTTCGCTCTTTTTTGTTCAAAACTCAAAGGAGCTAAAACTGGTAAGAAGAAGAAGAAGAAGAAGAAGAAGAAGAAGAAGAAGAAGAAGAAGAAGAAGAAGAAGAAGAAGAAGAAGAAGAAGAAGAAGAAGACGACACTAGGAGTGGATCGACACCGATATGGGTTCTACATAAGGTGACGGACCACATCTACTCTCTCTTAGCCCCGATGGTATGTATATATATTTTGTGACCGTTGCATATTTACCATGAGTTCGATGTCGATCGTCCACTAATAGCGGCCGGGTACTCCTCTTATTGCTGACTCTGCCAACTGCTCATCTCACGACACGTTTCTGCTCTAGCAATCCTTCTTTAGCCGCTATGGATGATGATCAGCTTGCACCTGTTTAAAGATTTCTGCCTTAGGAACCTCATTATCCACTCACTGGAGGCATCCATTATAGAGACGTTTGATAAGGTCAAGGACGTCTCAGATTCCTGCCAAAAACACAATGTACGAAATCATCCTCATGCCGATGCTTGCCCATGTCAGGCGGAACTTTACTTCAAGTTAGATCGGCTCGACGAGTCCATCTACAGGTTGAAAGACCTAAGGCATTTTGTCGTCCGCTGGTGGATATGGTACATTCGATCTTCAACCAAGAATCCTTTCTTTCCGAAAGAAAGTATTCGATTTTGGTCCCAAACCGGCCAACCCATTGCGGCTTGGCAGAAATACTCCGTCGCCCAGAGGAACGGCGAAGTTGGACCAAGAAACCGGAGAGCCTTTATCTATTATAAGGACTCACGCGAGATATCTACCAGACCCGCCGCTGCCACCGATAGCCAGTAGTTTACGTCGACACT